GTGAAATCATCGAAACAAAGTTTATGGCCGTGTTTTGCATCGTTAGTTGAATTACCACCACCAGTACGTGACTACCAAAAGAATATTATTTTGATGTCTTTATGGACATCAAAAAAGAAACCTGATGCAAACGTATTCCTAGAAAAAACTATCGCAGAACTTAAACATCTCATCAATCGTGGAACATCGATATTTATCAACGGTTATCAATACCAGATCACTTTACAAACACAGTACTTTGTGTCAGATTTGCCCGCGAAAGCGTTATTCAGTAAAACAATTAATTTCAATGGTTATTCAGCATCCACAGAATGCTGTAGTAAAGGTATGTATTACCGTTTCAATAGCTTTTGTACTCAGGGGAGTTTTAGATACTAAGAGTGTGATCTAAATTATATCACTCCTTTATCTCATAGAAATCGATTTCGTTCCATATGTTGATCCAAGTTTTAGGTTATTTTCTCGACTACAATGTTTCAATGACGAGAGAACTAAACATATATCCTAGTAATACAATGCGCCGAGTATCATTGGTAGATAGTCGGCTAATTGTTAGCTCGCTTTCGAATTACGTCACATCGTTTAGTTTCGTTAATACTTTTTTGTTGTGTGATATTTATAAAAATACTAATGTTTCCATAGTTTTCCGTTGTTGGGTTTATTTTTTTTGGATAAATTAAGTTGGTATTTTTATTTAGGAGAATGGAGTGCTCTGTACAGTGTCGTCGTCTATCCGTTTACTCGGAATAATCTTACACCTCGCACACATGCTGAATACCTGGATGCAGCCAAAGAAGCACAAAAGAAGTCTCTCCATGGAAAAACTGTATCGATTCGTGGTATAAAAGGTCTTTCAACATTGCTTGAGGTAAGTAAGAGTTTGGTTCATAATACTATCGTGATTATTTATCGCATTTTCTGCCGCAAACTGCCTAATAATTTTAAAACAAATCGAACGCTTTCACAAACGGCAGTCATACAGGATTAGCCACAAGAGCTATCCAAGAATATCGTTTTAAAAATGGCTTCAACTTATCTAATTCGCTTTTTAATTGTTTCTTTTTCAGTTTAGGTCTTTGAATATCCTTCTCAAATTACGTTTGATTATATGCACCTCATATGTCTGGGACATATTCCATCACCTAATCAAACGATGGTGTCGGCGTGTTGACAAGTCGGCGTTACATGCAATCGATGTTTCATTGGATCAACTCCTTCTGCCACACAATCTGAGTATACCTTTTCTAGAATCCATTGAACATTCAGAGCAGTGGAAAGCGAAAAACAGTCGATTATTTGTATTGAATGTGGGTGTACCTGTCGTCACATTACATTTTCCACGGCTTTTGGCTTCACACTATATACTATATTCTTTATCAGTAATCATGCTTCACGCTCCTAGATCCAATGACGAAATCAATCTGGCAGAGGATATTATGAATTATTATTGTAAAACTTCAACAATGGTGCATGATCCCTCCGTCGAATTGTTTTCTCTCCATACCCATATTCATCTTGCTCAACAAGTGAGACGTCATGGTGGTCTAGATCACACTTCTGCCTTCGGTTTTGAATCATGTATTCGTTTTATTCAAAAGAAAGCTCATGACAGTAAAGATCTTGGTAGTCAAATTTCTTACTGGATTGATCTACAAAGCACAGCTTAAGTGAAGACCGAAGCTCCAGCGATATCTGTTGTCAATGTAAGTGTCTGACCTTGTACTAATCTCTTTTAATTCGTAAAACAATATTCTAGGAGATTCGATTGGATGATCGTCGCAGTGATTGGACGAGTACAAGTACAGCAAGTAAAAGTACTATTACTGTGTACTTAACAAATTCTTTTTTGTACTCAGAGGTAAATATAATGAGTACATTATATGTACTGCAGTACCAGTACATAGTATCATTTACTGGAGTACAAGCGTACTCTGTACTGGTACTACAGTACACATTTACTTAGTACCGGTACTCAGTATATATGTACTTAGTACTTTGCAATGACATTATATTTCACTTCTACGATTATCTTCCCTGTTAACCTTTGTGAACTTCATACTTCAGTGACATCTGTAGCAATCATAAAAACTGAACATTTTATTAATGTATTAGTAATGAAGTACAGATCTAGATAAAACAATTCAAACTATGTTGATTGCTTAAATACATGTGTTCATAAGAGAAATAAACATGGTGAAGTGATGCAAGAAGTTTATTGGTGGGATCAATAATGGATATATCTTTGCCTAGACTAGTATATTAAGTCGTGCCCTCATCAAATTATATGTAAAGCTTCATTCCTTTGCTTATATATATATTATAACGACAGTTTATTGTTAGCGTTTGTGATGAATCACACAACGCTAGACTAGAGATTAAGATGGTCCTTCTAGTCTAACTGGATTAGGACATCTGCCCGGATAGCAGAAGGTGTGGGTTCGAGTCCCACGAAGGTCACTTTTTCTCGATTCTTCTCTCTTTCGTTCTCTTTCGCTGATGTCCCTATATTATGAGCTAACATCATGATTCGCCATTTCTGAACTACCTAACTGCTNTCGGAAGTTTAGTTATATATAGATCATGTGAGTTACTGTTACGTATTAGAAGAAGGAATCTGTTTACTAGCGTCATCTATTGTATGTTGATATATGGTTGTATAATAAGGAAATATAATATCAATAGTGTCTTTTTTCTCATATATACAAGTACCGTTGGATTGTAGATAGTTTGGTTGTTTTTTTTATATATCTGAATGATTTCTGTATTTTTATTGGTTGTGATAGAACGGCATTATGGGAGAAGAATTATGCATTGTGTATACAAACAAACAGTCAGTCCATGTCTTCTAAAGAATCGTGTTCGTTTTAGTTTTAACATTTTTCGAATAATCATGATCAATCCTCATCGGGTTGTGGAAATATTAAGTGATTTAGTTTCTGAGCGGTTATCTTTACAGGATCGTAATAACTCACATACTAGACATGATGAAGAAATTGCTAAACATTTATTTGATCACGTTGAATCAATTCTTGACAGCACACAATACTCTTTCGAAACTGAACATACCATTGATTTTGATGATGAATGTAACACAGAACAGCTACAGAAAGATGATGATGGCGAGGAGGAGAGCGAAGGAGAAGATGATGATGAAGACGATGAGGAGAAAGAGGATGATGATGGCAAAGACGAGGAGGAAGAAGAAGAAGATAATGATGATGAAGAGTACGAATCAGAGCAAATGGATATTGATGTCGAACAGTTTCAAAGAGAACTCATGGAAGCAGATGATGGTCAACATTATGACTTACGGGAGAACTTTTCTACACTGTAAAAAATAACAGTATAAGACAGAAGCCTTGTCTTTCCCGCGACCATACATAAACCTTCCAAGGGTTTATCAACATCACATATACGAAAAAACCGTTTATGTGATAGTGCGTTTCTGAACTCCGCCGTTTTTTAGATTATACAGGGTTTTTGTACTATATTTCGTTGGAAAAGCGTTCCCTGAACTACCAAAGAGGATACAATAAAAGACGGTTCCTATTCAAGGGTATTTTCAAATCCGGTCGAGGGATGAGTGATGCACGGATGATATCGAAGGGTATTTTCAAATCCGGTCGAGGGATGAGTGATGCACGGATGATATCGAAGGGTATTTTCAAATACGGTCGAGGGATGAGTGATAGACGGATGGTATCGAAGGGTATTTTCAAATACTGTCGATGGACAAGTGTTGCACTGTTTGCGCCAAAAGCTTTGTTTAAACGCGGTCAAATGTAGAACAATTTAGAGTGCTAGATTACTGTGATTACTTTTAGGAACGACACGGTTATCAATTCGCGTCGTAAAATAATCAATAGTATTTGCATTTATATTTATATTGTGTGTGTTTGAGTTTTATATTTAGCATTGTTTTTATAAACGTTATTTTACTTCCAGGTTTAGAAAAATATATAATATAGAAAACCAGGCTATTACTGATTTGATTAGCACTGGGAATTTGTTTCAGAAGAAATGAGCCTTGTCCCAGATACGATTGACTTCTCTTAAAAGTATAGAGGTATTATTGTGCGAGAAGAGCATGAGTGATTAGAGTGAATGATTAGCACCATCTGTTGTTTGAAATTCTGAATAGATAAATATCGACATAAGCATATATAGAATAGAATGGTATTATTTGTGAAAAAAAAAGAAGTTGCCGAGAATCATACGTGCACATACACAGATGAATGAGGTTCCGAGCGAAAGATGTTAAATACTGCTGATTTAATCTAATAAAGAAATTGAGCTACTTCTTAGAGAAAAGAAGCTGGAAAAACTTAGATCCGATTCAGTTTAGTCTGACGTTATATTGAGCGATGGAGATCTTATCTGATGCAAGTATTCTTCGTATGATCTTATGTGCATCAGCTACATTTTCATGAATTTACATCAAACTTAGGAAACCCGTGAGTTTTGTTTGTATCTATTCGGATTTTTTAGATCGTTATTGTTTTTAATCAACATGAACTGGACGTGTGAGCAAGTGGTTACATGGTGCAAATCCTTTATGAATGACGATGGTATTATTTCACTTTTTGAAGGTCAGTGCATTTGTTTTGTTCACGTGTGATTAGAGCGATCATTTATGATTGCTTCAGCATGCGAAGCGACAGTTATCCTGGTGTTTTTCAATCTTGGATTCTCTGTGAAAGCTCGATACAAAATTGCGAATAGATCGTGAGATCTTCTGCATATCACATGAATTTTCTTCTATTCTTCGCATTTTTCGTGTTTTTTTCCGTCGATTTTGTTCGTTTGTAGTCGAATATCGCTGTAAAGAAAAGTAAATTTCTATCTCTACTATCGCGATCTTGTGTCGGTGCCTATGGATTAAACAGCCGGTCGTTGTTAACACTTGTTGTCGATAGGATAGTCGAAAAGTAAAAAACGTGGTATATTTAATGCACATAGAAAGGTTCGTTTGAAGTATTTACTTTCCATTTCATGCTATGATGTCACTGTTTGTGTGTCCTCTTTGCTTCAACGATCGTAGATTCGACGCGTTTGCCAAGTTCTTCCGACACATCACTCTTTTTCATCAAAGCGAATCTAAGTTTCGAATAACGTGTGATTTGAGTTTATCCTGTGGAATTTCGTATAATACATACGCTGGATACAAATCTCACATATACCGTCACCATTTTGATCAGTTACGTGTATCGAATAACAAGAGTGATGCTTCGGAACCGTCTTTCGTTAACTATATCTCACCATGCGATGCGAACAACGATGACGACATCGATCATCCGGTCGATGAGACGGATGATTTCATCTCAACGAATGAAGATGAGGATCGCATAGATCCAATCAACTTATTTGACTCGATCTCCGATCAAAATATCGATTCCATTTCAATATTAGATATCAAAAAAACTTTTGCATTGTTCATGCTACAGTTAAGAGAAGAATTTCTTTTGCCAAAGAATGTTATTAGTTCTATCTCAACTTATATTGTTACATTGGTGAACAGCTTACACTCTTTGTTTGAACAAAAAGTTATGCTGAGTCACTCGGATGGTATCGGAAACATTTTATCTTCGAAATCAACATCTAATTCTACGACAGCATATCTCGATATCGATACGATTAAGAACACAATCAATGAAGTGTGTTGTGCCGTGGAAACTGTCACACGGAATGAATATCAATTTCAACAATTTTGCGAAGAATATTTTTCGTACCGTTCACCTAAACAGATTATTTTGTCAAATCCTGGTGAAGCGACGGAAGTCGCTTATTTCATTCCATTTGATGAAACAATTAAATCTATTCTACATAATAATTATGTGGTTGATCAAATTTTCGACAATATGAAACAACAGCGAGAAAAAGTGTTTGCCGATGATGATCTCATGTTTTCATTTCGCGACGGAGAGTACGGTAGTCGAATCGATGATGATAGTCTACTGGTACAATTGTATATCGATGACATTGGAATAACCAATCCGATTGGTGCTAAGAAAGACATGCATAAGATGTCTATGATTTATTTTACCCTGGAGGATGTTCCTGACCAACACCGGTCGCAACTCGAACACATTCATCTTGTTGGGATTTGTACAAGTAGAACGCTGAAGGTAAAGCCTTTTAAAAGATAAATGACTCATTGTTTTCATGTTCCACAATGTGGATGATCGTCTTTTCATGTTGAAACTTGTATATAAACATTTACAATTACTCAGCAAACTGTACTTGATCACATTCAGACATTGAATTCGTTTCATTTTGTTGTGTTTTGTTCTTGTGTGTATCTTCCTTTGTTGGTAATGGTCGAGATTAAGATCATACTGTCTCATATGAATGGTGTTCCATTGTGAGTTATTTTTTGAGGATGATGTGAAAGCGAAACGCTTTTTCGAACCAATAATCAAAAATCTGAATTATCTTCAACGAAATGGTCTGGTGATTAATAATCGAACAATCAAGNGACATTGAATTCGTTTCATTTTGTTGTGTTTTGTTCTTGTGTGTATCTTCCTTTGTTGGTAATGGTCGAGATTAAGATCATACTGTCTCATATGAATGGTGTTCCATTGTGAGTTATTTTTTGAGGATGATGTGAAAGCGAAACGCTTTTTCGAACCAATAATCAAAAATCTGAATTATCTTCAACGAAATGGTCTGGTGATTAATAATCGAACAATCAAGTTTTCCTTCTCAACTCTAGTAGCCGATAACTTAGCAGCGCATCAAATTGGAGGATTTCAATCATCGTTTAGCACTGGTTATGTGTGCCGGCGTTGCTTTATGAAACATTGTGATTTGCATTTACCAATGACACAGATTAGACCGGATACAAGGACTAGTGCTTATCATGATGATTTAGTCAAGCGAATTACTTCAAATTTGAATCAAACCTCAATAATGGGAGTTGTTGGGAAAAGTCCTTTGTATGATCTTGATGGTTTTCATCCAACTATGTCCCTTCCAGCAGATCTGATGCACGATTATCTTGAGGGTGTGTGTCCTCGTGTTATAATAAGTTTACTCAAAGAAGCATCCGCTTTGAAACTTATTGCTTATTGTAAGTCTTGTATTTCTTTTTGTGAATTGATATTAACGAGCAAATAGAAAAGAATATGTTCGACTCTAAATCGACTTTAAGTTGCTGAGAACAGAAGATTATAACTACCATTCGCAGTTGGTGTATTTTTCATGTATCCTTGTGAAATTTATCGAAAACATTCAGTCGATGATACATCGTAGTATGCAGAGAGAAAAGTCTTCGACTTCTTTTCTCTATGACAATTGAAAGTCACTATAGTATAGAACTTTAGTCATTCTTTGATATGATAAAGTAGTAGATTAATATCTGATTATTCTGTACGATCTATTTGAAGATGCTGGATGCTGCGAGCTTCGTTGAATAATATGCAATTGAGAGAAAAATGTATGGATTCGAATTGTTGAACTTAACCTCAACCAACATTTTCTTCAAAAAATGTTTTTTTATTCGAATACAATAGTCACATTGATTCACCTGTTGTTGTTTTGCGTTGAGATCGTAACAAAGTGTTTCATTTCCTTATTTTCATCTATTCAAGTTCGAATTCAAGAACGTATGGAACAATTTGTATATGGCCATTTTGATTCACGTGATAAACCGCCACCAATTCTCGTTAAACATCTCCAAAACGACAAGATTGCTGCAAGCGCATCACAGAAGTGGTGCTTGTTTCGATTGTTTCCGTTAATCTTTGCTGATATTGTGGACAAACTTCCATCTTTCATTGTTTATAAACAATTGCGAGAGATAGTCGATCTTGTTTTTTCTGTTCCATTTCGAAAAATCTGGTTGCCTACACTTCGCGATTTATCGTTTGCGTTTCAATACTCCATGATAAAACATTTTCCACGGCAAGTAGTGCCGAAAGTTCATTTTTGCACAGAATATGATCAAGTAATTAATGATTATGGACCCGCAATTAAACAATGGTCAATGCGATATGAGTCATACCACTATTACTTCAAAAAAGTGGCACTCCGATCGAACAATTACAAAAATACACCGAAAATGTTAGCGACTCGTTATCGATTAAAACAAGCTTTTTCATCCTTTCGAATGACTCAGCTGAACCATTCCGATCAAGCTATTCGAATTCAGAAAGTGAAGAATAATCTTTTTAGTAATGAAATGAAATATGCCATAATCAATCATTTTGGTAATATTGACCTGTCAAAGGATTTAGTTCAGTGTCAAAAATTCCGTCATGAGAATGTTGAGTATTGCCGGTTTGGTATTTACATCATATCTCTGATGAATTTTACTGAAGCACCGGAATTCGTTCAAGTGATGAATGTTATTAAACTTACACACAAATGGTGGTTATTAGTTGATGTTTTGACGACCGCTGGTTACGATGACAAACTATGTGCTTGGGAAATTAAGTCGATGGATAAATTTCGCATACTAGATCCAAATTCGATGAAATATTATCTCAAAGGGCTGGATGTCTATGAGATTGATAATTCAACTTTTGTTACATTTACGGCCCGTTTGACTTCGTATTGACTCATTTGAAAACTGTCGTTATCATTCTTCTTTTACCTTGTTTTCTTTTATCGAGCTTCTTCTGGTCGTTTTATTTGAATCTTATCGAGAAGTGTTCGATTTTCTCCACTATACAGATAGCAATAGCCTTTTGTTTTTAGACAACGAGATCGATGGCGAAACTCTNATGAGATTGATAATTCAACTTTTGTTACATTTACGGCCCGTTTGACTTCGTATTGACTCATTTGAAAACTGTCGTTATCATTCTTCTTTTACCTTGTTTTCTTTTATCGAGCTTCTTCTGGTCGTTTTATTTGAATCTTATCGAGAAGTGTTCGATTTTCTCCACTATACAGATAGCAATAGCCTTTTGTTTTTAGACAACGAGATCGATGGCGAAACTCTCGAAATGATGGACAGCATCGACAAGGTTGCAAAGTTGATCCCCAAACTGAAGTATCAACTATTATTTTTGAAAGAGCGTGAAAAACTATTTAAAGCAAATGACAATACATCTTTCACGAATGTGGATTCGCCGTCAGTTATCCCCAAAGATCTCAACTCTTCTTCATCGTCATCGGATAATTTTGTTATGAGTGATTCATCAGGTGTGAATATTCATGATGGGACATTAAATGAAGTACCGATGGAAGAAAACATCGACTCGACATTTCCTGCTGAATACACTATTCCACAATTGCCACAACCTTTGTTACAAGATATCGAAGCAGGTGCACTTCATAAGTTTGGACCTCATCATGCTAATCGACAAGTTCTTATTGATGCGATTACATATGATTTGCTCAACAAATACAATTTATTGTAAGTATATCGATGAATCATATGTTCACTACGTTGATGCGTTGTAAATGTGCATGTTTACATTAATATGCGTATTTCTCTATCACACATGCCTTTTGATCACTTTCGTCTCTTGATACATTGACATTCGCGCACCCAAAGCAACGCACATTAATGTACAATCTATTGTACATCAACATTTCTCACCAAAATTTCAATAAAACACTTATGTAAATTCACATGTTGCTTGTGATACTTTTCTCCACATAACAAACGTCTTTAGCTATTGTTATTGAGGTTTCCCTTTTTTCATTTCGATGGCTCTTCAATATCTCGTTACAGTATTTACATGGGAAAAAATTTAGACCGTTTGAGAGAAATTTAAAAGATAAAGACTGTCCATCTACTCTCATGTGAGAACCATTCATCTATATATCTCGTTTAAATTTAGTTATCCTAGTCACAAACAATTCGATGCTGTTGGAACCGCAATTGTTCGTTTGTTGAAATTACCTTTTACCAAAGATAATTTAGTAAGTTTGTTTCTCATTATTTCGTTATGTTGTGTCGATGAATGAGCTGGAGATGAACACACACTGAGATAACATTCTCCCTTGTACCAAGTCTGACAGACCTCTCAATTCATGCACGGAAGAAGTTTTGTTCTAAATGATGTCGGTAAAAAATACATTCATCACAAATCTGACTTTTTTGCTCAGGGAATTTGGAAGGAAGCTGTGCAGATAAAACTGAAGAGAAAACGTGGTGAACACAAAGATCATGTCGAAGTACAATATCATCTAATGAAATATTCGAAAACAGGTTCTGGTAGACCTGTAAAAACAATGTTTGGTGAAGTTGCAGCTCGTGACCGACAAAAACAAGTAAGCACACATAGAGTAACGTTCGAATTTGCTTGACATTTATTTTTTAGATTCTGACAATGAATTACGACAATGATTTATTCAATAGTATCAAGATAAAATCTCGGGAATTGCGCGATAACAGTCGTATCGATCGTGATGCACAAGTTCGTCTATGGAAAGAAACACTTCATGTTCGACGAAAATTGATTCGTGATCTACCTACATCGGCAATTCTTGAAGAATATCCTGGGTACAAAGATTCTTTTCTCGTGAGTATGAGTTATTGATTTTTATATCGAGAAAAATATTTTTATCTTTTACAGATTTTCGAGGAAATCCGATTGACTATGGAAGTGGATTTGCGTTCTGTTGTACGCTACCAAGTGCCAATCCTATTGCAGAAATTGTTGTCCTCGCCTGCTTTCATCACAGGTAAGAAAGACAGAAAGGAAAGGAAATTTGTTGACAACGTTCATTCTTCCCTAGACCCACCTCCGATTCAACTTATTCGAACACTTTGTCGACAATTTGGCGAAACAGTTCATCATATCTATTCCGATTCAGTACGTGTTCCTTTTGTTTATGACAACTCTGTTTCTGCATCTTTCGCACTTTTATATTAAATGTAAAAGAGTTAGTCTATAGTTGAGGCAAATGCAGAAAAATTTTGGCGACAATCGACTCAATACTTTGAAAATATATTAGAACACAAATCTTTAGCACGGAATAACATTCTATTTACGTTTTAAACTAAATGACTGCAGCAGTTCGTTCATTCACTTTCACAGTTCTAGGTTCGTCTGAGTAATAGGCGAACATAACTCTGTTCACTCATTTTCACATGGTCATCATTTCACGTTTGAAATCATTTCCATTCATTATATTTTTATTTCAGTTAGCTAGGCAGCGTAGATTGCGTTGTACATGAGCATGAGTGTATACAGAATCAGTAAATAACTTCGTAATGAGAACTCGATGTAAATGAAGCAATGATTTGTCCGTTTCTGAAATAAGCATCGATGTTATTTTTAAACAGACGTTTCGTCTGAATCATCGTAAACTATTGTTGCATAACTGAGTCAATTCTTATTGGTCATTCCTTATAACAAATGAAATCTTTGTGATTTGACCATCACTTTTCGTCTGGATTAATCTATAATTTACTGCCGATAGATTTCGATGCTCATTTTCTGTGTATCAGATTTAATTGTGTTTATTTATTTAGACACCATCAACGCCGTACCCAACTTTAGTTCTCATGAATGACGTTATTCATGTTTTTGTCGACTTCGTTCCGATTGTGTCATCAACTTCTCCAGACGATAGTCTAGCTCTTCTTTTGGCAATGTATGCTGTATTCGAATTAAACTTCAACAAAAACAGCCGTACAATTCGCTTATTATATGCTATTGTGTTTGGTGATAAACGATTTATTTCAAACAGTATTCGCAATTTGGTCAAAGAAAAACAAATCCATATATCCTTTGAACAAAATCGAACAATTTCGAACTTAACAAATTCAGTTACAGTCAATTTGACAGCAACAGCAACTACAACATCACCACCACCACTAACACCACATGCGAATTCTCAAGTTGTGTCTCAAGGTCAGCATGCGTCATCTCCGTTATCTCCTACAAATGTGATCGTTGGTGATTCGGCAGTTGATAATGAATCGATCGACACGAATGTCAACTTGCAAAGGTAAGTTTTTGTCTTGTGATTTAAATTGTACGAATTGTTTCGTTTTCTTCTTCAAAGCAATTTTGGCACAGATGTCCAGCAAGCCTCGTCGTCTTCGAATGTTGTGACTAGCCGAAAGCGAACACGCAAAGCATTAACTCAAGTACCAAAAGGCAAAGAAAACTGTGTTTCATTTGATGATGACAATGATGGTGAACATGAACATGAACATGATCAAAATCAAGTTATCTGTTCCGTTGGCTCTCAATTATCTTCAAGTGTTCGACAAATAAGAAAAAGAAAACGCCGTTGTTAACAATTTATCTTCAAATCAGAACTCGCTGTTTTTAATTTTTTACATTATCATAGTGAAAGATATTGGCTGATTTTGGTTGTATTCTTCTTCAAGGTCAAAGTGTGAATCAGACCGATGGTGTTGGTCGTTGATGCTCATGATTTAACTGTTATTTGATCTCATCCATCATTCAATACAAGCCACTGGTTAGAGTTGGATTGTTTTCTGCGAAGGAGGAGTTAATAATTGATTTGTTGATTCTTCTTTTACAGATTACAATTCGATTTTAACCAGTGTTGCATTGGAGATGGAATGACATCGAATAACGGCCAAATCATGATCATTTATGATCAAAATCATCAGTCTGGTTCTCATTTTGACTTTGTCGTAAGAAAACACAATCAACATCAGTCAATATCTTTCGCTGGCATACACCAAGCAGAACGTTGTTCTTCTTCTTTTTTATTTACCGCTTCATTCTAATTTCTTTCTCATCAAACACTTATGACCAACTTCTTTTGTCTTTTAAATATCTTCAACGGCTGAGAACATGTGCCATTCATCATTGTATAAACTCATGTCTTCTTCACTCTTTGTACTATTAAAAACATCTCTTCGACATCGATATGTCAAAGCTCGATAGCTTACTCATCTTCACGGAATTTTCATTCCGATCATTGTACTAAATCAAGCGACAATGATAACATCCACAATGGATATTTCTCTATGTTCACCTAACGATATTTTTCTCGAATCGACAAAGCAGCCATAACTTTTTCTGATCGGTAAGTTAATTTATCGCTCATTTTCAATTTCTCTATCATGCTGAGAATTTCTCTCGAGCAGTTTTCAGTTCTTTAACAAAATAGCGAACATCAAATCATTTTTCTCGTGGTTACTAAACTCTCATTCAATTATATGCAATTGAAACCTTTTACCTTGATCTTCTCCTGAATTAGTTATCATTCATAATCATACATATTTCATGTCGCTTTCTCAGTTATACCTCCATCATCGTATCGATTGTGCGAAGCTGTCCACTTAACTTCAAAATATGCAGCAATCCATTATCCGATAATTCACGTAGTTCTCTCCGACATGATTTGTCGTCATCAAGTCAAATGGCATTTCTCACATGTTTCATTCGCATCGATTATCACAAAGTAGCAGCTGGAACAGGCTAGATAAGTATACACATTGATCATATATAATTTCCACTATTCTTTGTGATTATAGCAGCTCATCAAATGACACCTGAAATACCCCTGGTGGGTATAGGTGCTCGGCAAATGGAACTTCAAATACCACTGGTGGGTATAGGTGCTCGACAAATGGTAGTCCAGATACCCCTGGTGGGTATAGATGATCGGCAAATGGTAGTCCAGATACCCCTGGTGGGTACAGGTGCTCGACAAATGGTAGTCCAGATACCCCTGGTGGGTATAGGTGATCGACAAATGGAACTGCAGATACCCCTGGTGGGGACAGGTGCCCGNATGAGATTGATAATTCAACTTTTGTTACATTTACGGCCCGTTTGACTTCGTATTGACTCATTTGAAAACTGTCGTTATCATTCTTCTTTTACCTTGTTTTCTTTTATCGAGCTTCTTCTGGTCGTTTTATTTGAATCTTATCGAGAAGTGTTCGATTTTCTCCACTATACAGATAGCAATAGCCTTTTGTTTTTAGACAACGAGATCGATGGCGAAACTCTGGAAATGATGGACAGTGTCGGCAAGGTGGCAAAGTTGATCCCCAAACTGAAGTATCAACTATTATTTTTGAAAGAGCGTGAAAAACTATTTAAAGCAAATAACAGCACGTCTTTCTCGAATGTTGATTCGCCATAAGTTATCCCCAAAGATCTCGATTCTTCTTCATCGTCATCGGATAATCTTACTATGAGTGATTTATCAGGTTTGGATGTTCATGATCGGACATTAACTGAATTACAGGTGAAAGAAAATATCGACTCAACATTTCCTGCTGAATACACTATCCCACAACTGCCACAATCTTTGTTACAAGATATCGAAGCAGGTGCACTTCATAAGTTTGGACCTCATCATGCTAATCGGCAAGTTCTTATCGATACGATTACATATGATCTACTCAAGAAATACAACTTATTGTAAGTATATCGATGAATCATATTTTCTCTATGTCGGCAGATTGTAAATCTGTATCTGTACATTAATCTACGCAGTGCTCTATCGCACATGCCTTTTGATCACTTTCTTCTCTTGATACATTGACATTCACATAATCAAAGAAACGCACATTACGACATTTCTCACCAACATTCCAGTAAAACACTTATGTAGATTCACAGCTTGCTTGGGATACTTTTTTCCAAATAACAAACGTATTTAGCTATTGTTATTCAGGTTTCCTTTTTCATTTCGATGACTCTTCAATTATCTCGATAAACTATTTAGATAGGAAAAAACTTAGACTGTTTGAGAGAAATTCAAAGGATAAAGAATGACCATGTGCTCTCGTATGAAAACTACTAATCTACAGATTCATTTTCCATTTAGTTATCCCAGTCATAAACAATTTGATGCCATTGGAACCGCGATTGTTAATTTGTTGAAATTGCCTTTTACCAAAGATAATTTAGTATGTTTGTTTCTCATTATTTTGTCATGAGGTGCCTATGAATGAGCTGGAGATGAACACACATTGATATAAAATTCTTTCGTGCACTAAGTCCGATAGACTTGTCAATTCATGCATGAGAGAAGTTGTAGTCTAAATGTTGTTGGTAAAAATACATTCATCACAAATCTGATTTTTTGCTCAGGGAATTTGGAAGGAAGCTGTGCAGATAAAACTGAAAAGAAAGCGTGGTGAACACAAGGATAATGTCGAGGTACAATACCATCTGATGAAATATTCGAAAACAGGTTCTGGTAGACCTGTGAACACAATGACTGGGGAGGTTGCAGTGCGTGACCGACAAAAACAAGTAAGCAAATATAGAATAGTATTCGAGTTTGCTTGGCATTTATTTTGTAGATTCTGACAATGAATTACGATGATGATTTATTCAATAGCATGAAGATAAAATCTCAAGAATTGCGTGACAACAATCGAATCGATCGTGATGCACAAGTTCGTCTGTGGAAAGAAACACTTCATGTTCGACGCAAACTGATTCGTGATCTACCTACATCGTCAATCCTTGAAGAATATCCTGGGTACAAAGATTCTTTTCTCGTAAGTGCTGGTCATTGATTTTCATATTCAAAAAGAGCTGTTTCGCAGATTTTTGAGGAAGTCCGAATGACTATGGAAGTGGATTTGCGTTCTGTTATACGCTACCAAGTGCCAATCCTACTGGAGAAACTGATGTCCGTGCCTGCTTTCATCACTGGTAAGAAAGGAAGGTAATGGAATTTGTGGTCAAAGTTCATTCTTTTATAGATCCACCTCCAATTCAACTTATTCGAACACTCTGTCGACAATTTGGAGAAACAGTTCATCACATATACAGTGATTTAGTAGGTGTTCTTTTTGCTCATGAGACTCCGTTTATACATCTTTCGCACTTTTTATATTAAAAGTGAAAGATTTGATATATAGTTGAAGTGGATGCAGTAACTTAATACTTTCAAAATATATCAGAACATAAGTCTAACACGGAATAACATCCTATTTAACGATATACGTAATGATGACACATGCTGTTTACGTTCTAAGCACGTGATTGCAGCAGCGCGTTCATTCACTTTCACAGTTCAAGCTTCGTCGAAGTGATAGGTGAACATAACTCTGTTCAGTCCTTTTCACGTGATCATCATTTCAATTTTGAAATCGTTTCCATCCATTCTCTCTTATTTCGATTATCTATGTAGCCTAGATTCCGTTGTACATGTGCAGAGCGTACAGAAAATCGATAGATAACTTCGTGATGAAGACTCGATATAAATAAAGCAAAGATTTTTTCCGTTTCTCAAACGAGCATCGATGTTCTCAAGTAGACACTTCGGCCGAATCATCGAAAATTATTCTTGCATGACTGAATGAATTTTTATTGGTTATTCTTTATAACAAATCAACTGTTTGTGGTTAGACCATCACTTTTCGTCTGAATTGATAACTAATTTATTGTCGATAGATTTCGATAATCATTTTCTGTGTCTCAGATTTAATTATGTTTATTTATTTAGACACCATCAACGCCGTACCCAACTTTAGTTCTCATGAATGATGTTATGCATATTTTCGTTGATTTCATTCCGATTGTGTCATCAACTTCTCCAGATGATGGTCTAGCACTTCTTTTGGCGATGTATGCTGTGTTCGAATTGAACTTTAACAAAAATAGTCGGACGATTCGTTTATTATACGCGACTGTCTTTGGTGATAAACGATTTCTTTCAAACAGTATTCGCAATTTGATCAAAGAAAAACAAATCGATATTTGCTTTGAACAAAATCGAAAAATTTCAAATTTAACAAGTTCAGTGGCAGCGAATTCGGCAGCAACAGCAACAGCAACTACAACATCAACACCAACATCACCACCGCATGCGAATTCTCAAGTAGTGTCTCAAGATCAGTGTGCGTCATCTTCTACAAACGTCATCATTGGTGATTCGGCAGTTGACAAAGACGAGTCGAGTGACACGAATGTCAACTCGCAAACGTAAGTTTTTGTCTTGTAATTCAAATTACATGAATTGTTTCGTTTTCTTTTCCAAAGCAGTTTCGGCACAGAAGTCAATCAAGCCTTGTCGTCTTCAAATGTTCTGGTTAATCGGAAACGAACACGGAAAGCGTTAACTCAAATACCGAAAGGCAAAGAAAATTGTCTTTCATTTGACAATGACAATGACAATGACAATCACGATGAACATGATCACGATGAAGTTATCGACTCCGTTTGCTCTCAATTATCTTTAGGTGTTCGACAAACAAGAAAACAAAAACGACGCTGTTAAGAATGTTACCCTCGCAACAGAACTCGCTATTTTTAATTCGTTATATTGTTGTAGTGAAAGACATTGACCGATTTTGGTTGTATTCTTCTTCAAGGTCAAAGTGTGAATCAGACCGATGATGTTGATCGTTGATGTTCATGATACAACTGTTATTTGCTCTCGTCCATCATTCAATACAGGTCACTGGTTAGAATTGGATTGTTTTCTGTGAAGAAAAAGTTGATAATTGATTTATTGACTTTTCTTTTACAGATTACAGTTCGATTTCAACCAGTGTTGTATTGGAGGTGGAATGAGATCGAATGATGGTCGAATCATGATCATTAATGATCACAATCATCAGACTAATTCTCATTTTGACTTTGTCGTGAGAAAACAATCAAAATCAGTCAATATCTTTCGTTGGCATGCATCAAGCAGAACGTTGTTCTTCTTCTTTTTTTAGTTACCGTTTCATTCTCATTTCTATTTGATCAAATAGTTGTGATCGACTTGTTTTCTCTTTGAACTAACTTCAACAACTGAGAACATGCATCACTCATCATCGTATAGACTCATGTCTTGTTCACTTGACGTCGTATTACAAACATTTCTTCCACATCGATATCTAAAAGCTCAATAGCTTTCTCATCTTCGCCGAATTTTTATGCCGATCATTGTAATGAACTAAGCGACAAGCATTACATTCACAATCGAAGTTATCTCTATTTACCTGACGAGATCTTTCTCGGATCAAAAAGGAAACATAACTTGTTCTACTCGATAAGCTAATTTATCAATAATTTGCTATTTCTCTACTATGTTGAGAATTTCTCTAAAAAAAACTTTCAATTCTTTGACAAAATAGTAGATATCAAATCATTATCTATCGATTTCTAAGCCCCCCATTCAAGTATGTACGATAAAAACATTTTACCTTAATCTTCTCTTGAATTAGTTTTATCATTCATGATCATATATATATCATGTCGCTTTTTCAGTTACAACTCCATCACGAAATCCATTCTGCAAAGCTGTTCAATTAACTTCGACATATGAGGAATACATTGCCGGACAATTCACGTAGTTCTGCCCGACATCATGCGTCGCCATCGAGTCAAATGGCATTTTGGACATGTTTTATTTGCAACAGTTATCACGGCGCAGCAGCTAAAACAGGCTAGATAAGTATACACATTGATCATATTAACTTCCCAGTATTCTTTGTGATTCTAGGAGTTCATCAAACGGCATCTGGAATACCCCTGGTAGGTCTAGATTATGCCTGACTGGAACTCGAAATACCCCTGGCAGCTATAGATCATCATCAACTGGAACTCGAAATACCCTTGGTGGGTATAGATGATCGTCAAGCCGGATATCAGAAACTTTTAGAGCTTGGATAGCACTCTTAAGCGCAGATGGTAAAACACTCATGCAGTACAAGTGACCCTCAGGTGTCTGGCAAAACCTTCTGATCGTATGTATCGATATGATTAGGAGTACGAAGCACTGTTTGCCTAGCTTCTGACGGCTTTTTTTTGGTACAATATATACCTCAAAAATGTTTTTTCCTTTTTGAAAGTGCAACGAATAATGAACCCTTTTAGGGGTGGTTTTCTACTATAATACCCTCTCTGAAACGGTAGCAAAATGATGTCTACAGCGGAAAGAAACTTCCATAAATGGTAGCAGAAACCTTTAAAGAGGGTTTTTTGTGCTAATATACGTTTCAAATGTGGATTCTGATAGGTATTGAAGGGGGTTTCAGAAGCGCTTCGATACGCTCAGAAGGGTTCATTATCCGTTGCACTTTCAAGTACCCTTTTAGGGTTTTGCATTCTCCTGTTTTTTTTATATCAGTGTAGCAGTTAGTTTCTCACCGAAATTCTATTGCGAGTTAAATCTTATAGAAGGATTATGGGCACACCAAAAACAATTGGTTCTACATCGAACAGACCAAACATTACCCACCATACTCAAATTAATTCAGAAATCAAGAACAAATCTCATTGAAAAGAATGTTTCTTTGAAATGAATGAGGATATTTTGACGTACTACAGTTGCTTACGAGCGTGGTGATTCGTATGAAGATGTTCTCAAGATGTATTTCAGTTCAATTTGCAAAGCTAGCGTCGCTTCGCGTCGTCAAATTACTAATTCCAACTTGAATGACTGATTCTATTGCTTAACATATTTATCTAGTGATCTATTTCCTTTTTTAGTTAAAATATATTTTATTATCACTGTTTCGTAAATATGAAAACATGATTTCTTCCAATTTAGTTGGATCTGCTATTACTGATATTTNTCTAGCATGTGAATAATGTAGCGCATCGCTCATGTGTTAGCGTTTGTGATGAATCACACAACGGTAGACTAGAGATTAAGATGGTCCTTCTAGTCTAACTGGATTAGGACATCTGCCCGGATAGCAGAAGGTGTGGGTTCGAGTCCCACGAAGGTCACTTTTTCTCGATTCTTCTCTCTTTCGTTCTCTTTCGCTGATGTCCCTATATTATGAGCTAACATTTATTCGAATCTATACTAAGTATGACTGCTGAATTACTGAAAAAACACTTTGACTTCACTGAAATTGAAAATGATCGAATGAATGGATTTTGCTATTTATGTCATCGAAATTATAAAGACAAGAAGAGTGTTTATAGTAATTTCACCAAACATTTAAAACGAAAACACGAATTGGCTTATAAAAAATTGTTTAATGATAATGAAGATCCAACTGAAAATAATACTATTCATGTTGATCATTCAATAACAACTGAATCAATACCAAATAAAGCTAAACAAGCTCGTTTTAATATGGCAATTGCAAAAAATTTGATTGTTAAATGTAATATGCCTCTTAGTTTAGTGGAAAATTCTGGTTTTCGTCAATTCATGGAGGAATGCAATTCTAAATGGAGTCCAATCTGCAGCAAGAAGTTGAAATTTGATTATATTGAACAACTTACTACTGAAATGCAAAACAAAATTACTCAGACATTAACCCTTGGAGTACCGGCCTCTTTTAACCGTGATTTTGATGACATGTGTTCTTTTTTAATAATTCTTTTACTTTTCAGCCAATATTTTCGTAAGATCTGACCTTTTTGTTGTTTTATTCTATAGAAAAAAATGAGAACGATGTTCCTTATTTAGAACAATTAATACAAAAGACACGTTTGACAGAATGATCACTACAAACGAACGAAGAACAACTGAAACATTGAATTGATGTTTTCTTGTCTGTAGAACGTTCACAAATGGAGCACCTTTTTCGTTTTGGTTGAGTGGGATTTTCATTCGCTTCTGCCGGATCGTTCTTCGACGCAGGATAACCGACGATTGCTAAAGCATTTAGAATATTTGTGTTAAAAAATTTCGAGTTCTTCGAACGAAAATCCAACAGATGCGATACTAGTGCTAATCCTAATTCTTCCAAAAATAATCGACGTTTATGATTTGTATTCTGATTCCATTGAGGATTCTTCACTTTCCAGACCATCAGAGCGTTTATGGTAGCAATGTCTATCATCCCATAGAAAATACAAAGTGGCCATCGCTTTGTACCTCGTTTTACCTGAAAAATAAAATAAGCTATAGATCAAAGAATGACTCATTTTATTAGACATTAGAATTTTCATTGTTTCTCCGTTCTGTAAAAAACATATTACTGATAGAATGTTTTACTAAGGGGGCGCACTAATATGGAGAAAGAATGTATTTCTTTCTGGATTCATTATCATATATCTCTTCGTAACGGTTACTAGCTGCTGCTGAAAACTGCGAAACAACACAACATGTTTAATGTTTTTCTGAGATTTTGAACATGGGGTCAAAAATGATCCCGGCTGGTACTCCAAGGGTTAACCATGGACGTTTGAGTTTTCGTTCATGAATCTATAGATCCGGAGTCAGAATGAATCTACAATTGCGTCTGAAGTAATAGAAGATGTTTCTTATACGTTAATCACTTAATTAAGTGGAAATGGTCCACCCTTAGTATAAAGTACTCTACTAGAAGTACAAGTGCAAGTACAAGTACTCTGAGCTAAGTACAAGTATTTCTACGTTGTACTTGAAAAGTACAAATGTACAAGTACATGTACTTGCGTCCTACCTCTGGTATATACGTCACAATTTGAGAGAGATGCTTGCAAAATACTGAGAGGGCCATTCATTTTGTGACACCCGTTACATCAAATCAGTCAAACTGAATTCTGCGTTAATCATGTATTCTGTGGTTCATGTCGATTTTGCCGAGAACTTCACATTTGTCACTCAAAATGAGATTCAATCGGCCTATTGGAATCAGAAACAAGCCACTGTTTATACTGTTGTCATTCAGACTGATGCTGACCATCGAAACATGGTGCTGATCTCAAATAGAATGACGCATGATACAGCGTTCGTATATTGCACCCAAGAGATCATAGTTGTGCTTATTCGAGAAGAATACCGTAATGTTCATAAGATTCACTATGTTAGGTATGAAACTACTTAGATCCGTCGATGAATTTTGATAAATTGGTGTATTTTTATTTAGCGATGGGGTTCCTTCTCAGTACAAGAACAACAATAACATGTTAAATTTTAGTTGTCACGAGGACGACTTTGGAAAAAAGCAGCTTGGACATTCACTAGCTCTGGTCATGGAAAAAGCGGATGCGATGGCTTAGGTGCGGCTGTTAAATCGGGCGGTCGAAAACATTCACTTAAGGGTGGTTCTGCGGCCGCGTTTACCACTGCCAAAGATTTTTACGCCTTTACGTTGAAGAAATACAGTCGTGCACCGCACGAGCCTAAAGTCACACATTCGAATGAATCATCCGATGCTAGTTCTATCACTACTAATGATGAATTGACAGATGATGAGATGGATACTATTAGTACAAATTCGAAAAGCTCGATCGAAGTACGGTGGTTGCATGCAGACGAAGTCGAAGAAACATTCGAACAACATTTGAAGAATCAGTGGAACAAGTTATCAGAAAAAAGTGACATCTCAATTCTATCATAGCACAATGTCACTCCTCATTCCTTATAGATCGAATGGTAGGCATTCGTTCCTTTCAACCGGTGTGATGGCGTGCAAATCTACATCAGTATCCCTTGATTCAAAGATTTTCCATTTTGATCAGCAATGCAATAAACATCGTAATTCGCTTGTGAAACGATCACTTAATTCAAACGATTTTTGCATTGATGTGTTTCTCATTGTCGAATTAAGTAACAGCTTACATCTCGTCCGAATCAATCGCAACGGTCTTTATGATAACCAGATTCGAGCCTAGATTTATTTACCGTCGTTGCCAGCAAAGAAACTTTCTACCTCCAAATCGTCCATTACCCTCTTTTCAATCAATAACGTTGTTGGTTCTTTAAATCAGTCTCCGATGCAAATCACAGCAAACAAAGTAACACTTTCCAATGAGCAACTTGCTTCCATTCAAGATATTTGTGATGAGCTTTGAGCAAATTTCTTCCTTTTAGAGCATTTATTACAAACATTTAATAAAATATCAGTTGTTATCCATACGATTGAATAGGTTTTCATCAGGATTAATGAACACTATCGATTTACGGACTAGATTACTGTTTCTTTTTCATAGTTATTCTTCTTATCATTCTGAAAAATACTAGCTACAATGTGTACGTTGTTGCATCACTAGCAGTTTGTTCACGCAAGTAGTGATGTTCATGATGAACAGATCTGTTTGCTATCATAATGCAGCTACAAAGCACCACAAGTAATGAAAGACTCATCCTATGTATCGGTACTTATGTATAAAATACTATGAGCTAATATATAGGTGAGAAGATGAGATGTCAGTAGAATAGTACTAGCTGGCAAATATGTGATGATATCTTCGCGAAATCAAAAGGATGCGAAGTTTCAGTTACGTGGGGGTGTAGAGCAAGTGAAGCTCTATCGAATGGCAAAAGGTACGACAGAAAACAATTCGGCGTTTTCGAGAAATTCGAAATTTACTACTAGAGTCGTTTTCAAGGCTAGTTATAGTAATCAGGCCATATTTTTCCTAAAAGTAAACTGCTTGCTGCATGGTTAGATGCGCCTTTTCACAAGGAATCAGAATATTATATTGGATGTTAATTTTTATGTTGACTTCATAGAGAAAATCGAAAAAAACCTCAGGTCAAAATTGAAAACATCTTCGATTTTTGTATTTTAGGGTAAAAAGTGTTTTGCCCCCAGTATTGCGAAAAATTGGTTTAAAAAAAAATATTTTTTTAGCAAAATGCTTAGAACTAAATGCTTTATCGCTGGTAAAAGTTTCATCGAAATCTGAGAAAACTTTTGTACAGCGTGGTCGAGATCCGATGGATTTACCCAAAACCATATTTTTATGCATGAGACTACTTAGTGGTTTTAAACAACGTAATAAATAGCGTTACCATATTCTTTGAACACAATCAAACGAAGTTACGGCTAATGTAGCATATTCACCTTAGACTAAGCATTCAGTATACTAGGTCGTAAAACGAGTAAAAGAGAGACTAGCGAATAGCCAGCTGTATCTTTCGTCAAATGTCAATAACGAAGCAGCCATTTTTTTACTCAACATTTATCTCAATAGGGTATCAAGAAAATATCAGCTAGAATGATGAAACTTTCTATATAATATCACACCAACTAACTCGAATATATAATGCAAAAAAAAACGAAGGAATTACAATTGTTCGAGAGAGATATAGAAAATTCCGAGAATTTATTGACTACCCTATGTATATATATATATAAGCAAACTATCGTATTTATGCAACACATACATGTACATTATAAGCTTCCTAATATCAATTCCTTTCAGTAGAGGGTCAGCGATGTAGTCATCGCGTTACTTGTTTTATTTTCAAAATTATATATATGTGTGCAAAGTCAGAATATAAATGTTTATTTGCAATAAATGTAAAGACAGAAGGATTGCAGACCCATAATGGAGCAAATGTCACAATATTGTTTAAGGATTATTTGAAAAAGTGTTAGTAAAAATATAGTTGAGCTTCGGAGTATTGAACCGAATTATCTGAAGAACGTTTTTCAGTGACAAGAAAGCGATAACTTGTGTAACTAATTGAGTTATTAAGACAGTGCATTAATGAACAAGAATATCTTGGTGGTGTCATAGAAAATGCAACAACTCCATCATAAATAAGAGTCCAACTTGAACCTAAAGTAAGATCTGATCCTGATTCATTACTTCCTTCTAATGTTATTCGCGTTGGATCACGTTCTTCATAATCATCAGCAACACAAATTTGAAATGTCTTCACTAATGATAAACCTCTCTGTAATGTTACATAATAGCCAGTATTTAGTCCACATGCGCCAGAATTCAAATATTTTGTCGAAGTATCATTATCAATCGCTTTCTCAGGTCCTTCATTCGAAGGATAATTACCAATTGAAGAATTCGCTGTCGATGATGTACTATCACCGCCTGCAGTGGTATTATATATAGCATATATACTGTCATTGGGATGTATTAATGGAATGTAATCTATGAAAAACAAAAGGTTTTGTTTCATTAAATTATTTTACAAAAAATTTAATAAATATACCCAATGATTCAGTAGTATTCATATGACCAATCTGCACATTTCCAGGACCTTGACTAATGATTCCAAATTTTCCTGTAACATTCGTGAAATATGTTGTCACCACTAGAATATATGTTTGGGAAGCTTCGAGTATTGATTGAATTTTAAATTGTCTTTCACCCATCGAATCATCATCTTCTTGTATATAATTTTTACAAAGCATTAATGGATTAAATGAATTATAGAACAAGTATCCATATGTGTCTATATCACTTACGCTAGCAAACCAATAATCTCCACTTATTGATACACTTATTTGTAATGCTTCATAATATTGTTTTTCTAATGACGCTGATCGATAAAATATTTTGCTTTCATAAGATAATTCATTTGTATAATCATATGTTATATTACTTGGCAAAGTGTAAGTGGCCGCTTAAGAAAAAACTTTATTCGATTAAAATCAGATATCAGTATTGAAAAAATTAATAAAAATAAAAAGAATTGATTCATTTTCTCAAGCCTATTCTATACATACTAGTAGTAGGTGTTGTAGTACTTATATAGATAGTAGTAGTTGGTTTTGTTTTATTTTTGGTATTTAATGACGGTGCAACACGATGAGTTTTTAATATCAATGGTAAAGCAATAGCTATTGATATAATAAATAAAATAATCATACATAGTACTTGAACAATAGTTGGAACTTTTTCCTTGGGTAAACTAATGTATCATAAAGAAAAAAAATTCTTATTTTCAAAGATATAATCTACTTTTCCGCTTCTCCTCCTGTTCGACCATCAGATAACAACACTGAACCATTTTTTAATGGAGACGAAGTTTGATTTATCTATATGATGATAAGATGAAAATCTTCTCGTCAGTTGATGTTTCGATATTTCTATTTACTTTCATATTTGTTTATTTTATTAACTGAATGAAAATGAAGCTTTACTCGACAAACTAAAACAAAAGAAAGAAATATTCCTGTTTCACGTATATTACAAAAAAAGTCATTATATAATTGTCAGAAAAGTAGATTTCATTACTTGAATGATTATGAGAAAAAGTTTGTTTCGAGGAATACTTTTTGAAAGTAAAATATTTATTATGTTATTTTTAGAAGACAATCACTGAAAAATATTTGATTAAATAAAAGAAATCTTATTGTAAAATCGGAAATCATAAGACAACAAAAACATCATTTAATACAAGTATCGACGTTTTTCTTCTTTCTACTTTGAAATGATATATTTCTAAAGATGTTTTCATTAAAAAAATGAATGTATGGTAATATAATGTCTGACTTTTACTTGTATGAGGAATCCTGTTCAAGAAATATCAAATTTTTTTATCTACTCTTTTAAATTATATAAGTAAACATGGTTTTTTCCACTTTTCATTGTGAAGAAAATGCATATACATAATTGAAATGAAAAATAATTCTATGTAGAGAAAATACATTAGACTTTCCAATAGTTTGGAACTTTTTTTAAAAATTTTCTAATGAATTGCTTTGTAGAAAATACATGATATTAGTAGATTTTTTTATGATGTTTAAGGGTATCTACGTTGTTGACAAATAATATTGATACAAGTATAAGTAGAAAAACATTTTGTAGAATTACATCTTCTACCGACGCCAACACAATCAGCACGTTTGCCAAACGTTTGTTGTAGCAGTTCACAAAGACCAAAAGGACAAGAGCGTATAAAGATCTATTTTCGCACCTCCCTTTCTTTTCGACTAAATCTCACTCAATTCTTAAGAGATTGAAAGATTACAAGTTTCTAATTATTTTGATGCTAAATTGAAGGTATTTCAATGAACTTTAGGTATGCATAGTGTCTGTCTTTATTGTAACATTGTATATGTTTAGCATCGTTTTGTAAGAAAAAAAATTACTGGAGTATACTGAATTATAACTGTTCTAATAGGCCTTTGTTCATACTACATTTTTCATACTAGATAATGGTGGTTAAAACAATAATTTGTGTTCGATATGACCACTACAACTACTTTCTTTAAATGCATTTCACTTTATAATTGAGTGCACTGTAAAAAAAAGAGTTTTTACGAAACCAAAAAAAGGATCTGACCGCCGAACCACACTTGCTTTCACCGAATGCAGGTTTTGTAGGAGCCTTTCGAAGTATATGTATTTAAGGAGAGAGTAGTTCAGGTAGCATATCGTTTTCGAATTGAGTTTCTGAGTGTAGGATAAACTTGAATCAGATAAGACAAACCTATTTTGATGCCTTTCATCAAGTCTTCTCTGAAAAGTTACCGCTATGTTATTAGAATTATAGTCGAGCACTATGAAAAATTATGTCTAGTTTTCAAACTGATTTTGAGTTCTAGTTCTATATATCAGATAGACACCATTGAAACATGAGAAAGTCTAAAGAACAAACTCTTCATGAGTCTACTTTTCTGTAAAACTTTTAATGCTTTAATGGTACCGATCTAATATATAGAACTAGAACACGAAATCAGTTTGAAAACTAAAGTAGAGGCGCAGGTATCCTTATGTATTATAGAAAGCTTACAGACACTTTTCTTTTATACAGAGTGATAGAGAAAGACGACACTCAAACTAATGTCATATCAATAAACTTCCGAGAATACTCTGTTGTGTACCATGTCGTCGCCTGATTGTTACAAGATATTATCTTGTGTTGGACATGTGTTATCTTATTGTTACTCTCTCTTCGTCTTTTTTCTTTTTCTTTTCATCTTCCTCAATCCCTAGACGTCTTTACATGAGTTTAAAAAGTCATGTGTTCCAGGACTTAGGACGGCAGAAAAGTGGTCGTAATTGTTTCGTCAAGAACGAGAAGATATCGATGACGAAGCATGGTCTGGTCGACGCCCTATCGAGACCACATTCGAACATATTGAAGAAATTTGTAGTCTTATTAACAACGATCCTCATGTTACAATAGACGAGATGGAGGTGCAAACTGGCTTCAGCCATGGAACCATCCACCGAATCATCTCCGATTATGTGCGCCTCAAAAACATGACTACTCGTTATGTACCCAAGCAGTTGGCTGATTCGCAGCGAGCTGAAAGAGTTCGAATACGCAAAAAAACATTAACAGAAGTCGAATTAGATGCTTGGCGATTGTATGATGCTATAACATGTAATGAGTCAAGGTTCTGTCATAAAAAAATTGGTCGAAAATTGTCAAATGTTCCTTGGGTTTCAGAAGAGAATCCTCTATCTACAGTGGTAAGACAAAGTCGTTTCGCTCGAAAGATCTTATTTAGTATCTTTTTCAAATCATCTGGTCCTGTCTTAATCCATTATGTGGAAAGAGGCTAAACTGTTTGAAATCTCTCGTAAATACCATTAAGGAACAGCGTCCCAAATGTGGTGTGTAAACTATGAAAATTCATGGCGATAATGGACGACCACATATTCACGAGAAAATGTCAAATTACCTTGAAGTTCAAGGTATTCCAATAATAAGGCATCCATCTAATTCTCCAGATTGGGTGCCATTTGATTTTTGGTTATTTGACCTTACAAGGAAAAAATCTTATCGATCAAAACGATTCAAAATCATCATATCGTGCCGTATGCGACTTTGTGAACTCCTTAAATAAAGAAAAAATATAGAAAAAGATTCGAGAAATGGATTGAATGATCGATTGATTCATCAGACACTAATCTACTCTCGATTATGTATTATTTAAAAAGAGTTTTAAATCATGCATGAAACAGATAATTCTTATACTTTGATTAGTTTTCAAGATGGTACTCAACATCTCTTGCTCGATTGAATTTTAATGAAGTTCAAATCGATGATATAACTGTGTTATTCTTTCAACATAATATGGAATTTCTGATCGAAATTATTTATCATTTCAAACTAATATTCCGAGTAACAATAATTTACTTTTTATTGTTACAAAATTGAATACTGTTGTAGTTGTTTTAAGTTCCATTTATGATGATTAAATTCCAAATAATCATCATCTCAACTCTGAACTTTTCTACCTTAAGAAAACGTATTAACAGAAGCTCTTTTGGGGCTAATATATGGAACTTATATTCGTATGTTTTGACAACGAGAATATGAGTGAAGAAAGAATACTTACAGATGAAACTCATTCGACTCACTCTGAAAATATAAAGGAAATACATGATATGAACAGTAGATAGTGCACTTTTTCATTAAAAAAAGTTTCATACATTCAATCGATCCTGAAAATTAAAATACACAATAAATAAACTCTCGTTTTTCATTGTGGAGAAACATTCTCTTCTGTGTATCCACAAAACAATATCAGCAATGGGAGTGAAAGTGACGTCAGTAAATAAATAATTATTAGGAAACACATTGGTAGTTTTTCTTCACTATGAAATGTTCATTTGTTGGAAAAAAAGACAATATAGTTACTTAATTAAATGAAAAGAAAAGAAAATCTTTTTCTTTCAAACAGTATCTGAGCAACATATATAACATACCGTTTTAGTGTGCTCAAAAAGTGAGTACAATACTAAAATCGGTCTGTATGTCCGTCCGTCCGTCCGTTTATTCGATAACTCTCGAAAAGTTTGAGCATTTGAAAAGAATTTTTCTTCCACAGATTTCTCTCATCAATATCTAGGTCGGGTTCGAAGATGAAAAGAGTCGGTCGCGAAATGGCGGAGACATCTTAAAAATACTAAAAATTCACTTTATGAGTCCTGAGAGGGAGTACAGGGATTTAAAAAAAATGTTTTCTGCTCCCACCTATATTGTTATAGCCAGTTCCATGAGAACATCTATGTCTTAAAAGGTTGTCCTAGAGCAGTAACCTTCGCTCATCAAGTCCCATACTATAGGGTACTCTTGGGTCCTCAAATGCTATAGTATGGGGGTACCCTTAAGTCTTCAAGTCCGATATAGTAGGGGTACCTATAGGTTGTCGAGTCCTAAATTCTGGGGTACCCTTAGATCCTCACATGCTATACTATGAGAGTAGCCACGGCTTGTTTTACACTAAAGCGTGGATATGGCTTGGGTTGTCCAGTTTTAAACTATGATGGCATTCTTGACTTTTGCGTGAAGTTCCTTTAGCTGTCGTGAAATTTCCTCGGAAGTAACGTTGTACCAATACCTAGTTTGGGTTCGCAATACTCTGCTGTCCAGACGTGTCTTTTGTTACTCATTGTAAAATCTAGTTATGATGCTTCCAGTTGTCTGTTGCCAAAGGGCAAAAGCGAGACTTTCGTACTTCTAAAGTTTCATTGTACTTCCACATACTCTCATCGTACTTTAACTATACTTCCCAATATACTTTCATCGTACTGTGAAATACGGAAGTCTGGCTTTTCCCCCCCTTGTCGGCAGCTCAAGCCTTATACACTTTTTAGAGTACACATAACCTTCGGATAAAATTCGAAGTTTCCACTTTTATTTTCTTTCAATTTGATTATTAGAAGTAATGATATCCAATTTAATCGCTCAATTTTGGAGATCATTCCTTCAATTAAATCTTTTCAAGAAACGTTCAAGTACTGAGCAAACACTTTTAAAAGAACAAATTGCCACTCGTCTTTATGTTTGTTCATTAATTCTAATTTTAATTACAATAGCAATTATTACTGGATGTATGATACGAACAGTTGAAAAAACTGAATCCGAACCTTCTCAAACACGATTTTTACAATTATCAAATATATATTCAAATACTTTGAATTGTCCATGTTCAAAATATGCAATCAATTATCAAAAATTTGTGACGACTCATGTTCAATTTCATCAAGTTTGTTCAAGTCAATTCATTGAACAAGAATGGTTTGATATGTTATTTACAAATACAAATATTTCATTAGAATCAACAACAGATGATTTTCGTATTACTTTAAGTTTCTTTTGGCAAACTATTGGAGGTTTATGCAATGCAAGTCAACAAAGTTGGGAAGAAGCTGCTGCAAGTTTTAATGCAACACGTTTTCTTAGTCCAAATACATTAAATGAAGAAATTCTTCGAAATCAAGTTAAAACAACATTTCAAAGTCAAATTGAACTATCTAAAATAACAATGAATCGGACTTTACTTGTTATTCGTCGTATGACAAGTGGAAATCAAATGGTTTCAGGTTTGCAAACAAATTTTCAATTCTATACTACATCTTATCATAATGGAGTTCGAACAGCACCTCGAATATTTGATAATTGTTCTTGTATAAATATTGAAGGCTGTCCACGTCCTGCTACGTTTATTGATAATTCTAATAATACAATAATAATTCCAGGAATGATTAGAGATTGTTTATTATTAGATGCAACATTTTCTTCAACACTTGAATGTTATTATAATCAAACATGTATTTCACTTTTACATTCATCATTATCTATTCAAATTCAACCATTATCGAATATTTCATTGAAACATTTTCCCTTAAATTCAGCAATTGAAAAGATTTTAAATGAATTAATGATTGAAGAAATGATTATTAATGTTCAATATGATTCTTATTATTCTGAATGTAATCCTCAATATTGTTCATATTCATATACACGTCGTTTTAATATTATCTTTGNCAACCATTATCGAATATTTCATTGAAACATTTTCCCTTAAATTCAGCAATTGAAAAGATTTTAAATGAATTAATGATTGAAGAAATGATTATTAATGTTCAATATGATTCTTATTATTCTGAATCTAATCCTCAATATTGTTCATATTCATATACACGTCGTTTTAATATTATCTTTGTTATTACAACAATCATTGGTATTTTTGGTGGTTTGTCATTTGGACTTCGAGTTTTGGCACCTTTAATTACAATTATCATATTACATTGGGAAAATCGTGCTATACCTAATACGATTCTACCACAAATTGAAACATCAAATCAATCTCGAAGTACTGGATGGATTCGTATTCGATCTGTATCAAAACATGTAAAAGAATTTGTAGTTTCTTTAAATATTTTCGAAAGTTCAACAGTACGTACTTCAAATAATATTTATCATGAACAATTATACACAAGATTCTTTATTTTTCTTACAATTATTTGTTCAATTGAACTTGCATTCTACATTTTTCTTACGGAACAAAATCAATCGATAATTGTTGAACATCCATCTCTTACTACTTATGAACAATTATATGAAAAACACTTCACAACATTACAATGTCCTTGTTCACAAATATCAATGCCATATCAATCATTTATGAATGTTTCATTTATTTTACACCAAGTTTGTTCAAGTGATTTAGTTTCATCGGAATGGTTAAATTATTTAATATTACTCAATCCAATCGCTGTACCAGCAATGTACGATTTTCCAGGTACTCGTGATTTTCGAGAAATGGGTACTTCTTATTTTCAATTATTATCAACTTTTTGTTCGATGATTGAAATGAATATTAATGATGCACAACGTGTATTTAGCAATACTCAATTTATCAATGATCGTGTTCTTTCTTCATCATTGTTTTTTGATAAAACTCAGGCAATAATCGATTTATTTATTAAAACAACACGAAATAATTTTGCAAGAACAATTGATTGGATTAATATTGCATTTAGTGCTAGTCATTTCTTTAATGGAGCAAATACTCTTTCTCAAATAACTATAACTACTGACAATAAACTATATATTTATTTCGATACTCATGCACAATATACGATTTTTACAGATACATTTATCACGAGTACAAGTTCGTGTTCGTGTGCATTTAGGTATGATCATTGTTTTCTTATACCTATATTACATCCAAATCAATCACATTTGGATCGATTTCCAGTAAATACATTCTTTCATGTAATAGAAATAGGTTGTGTACCTTTAACTGGTTTTCTGAATTCAAAGATTGGATGGTGGTATAAAGATATCAATTTTCATTATATTCGAGAAACTTATGCACTCATTATCGATTCTCAATCTCCACCAAAGATCCAGGCTCTTAATGTATCAATTACCAGTCGATTTAATGATACAATAACAAATAATTTAGTTCTTGAACTCTTCTCAGAAGAATTTCTAACAAATAATACACATTTTGATCAATTTTATAATCAATGTGCACCTATATCATGTACATATTCACGTATACAACGTCGTAATATTTTAGTAGCTTTACTTCTTTTTGTTGCTATATGTGGTGGTATTAACACAATCTTACGATTACTTATTCCATTATTCGGTAAACTTTTCTTTTCTTCTATTAATTGGTGGAAAGAACGTCATTATCGACGTGGTAAGTGTGTAATTAAATTGTATATATCGAAGAATTCAAAGAGACTTTTCTTAAGATATTTCAATATGTGATTATGTTAAACATTGTTTTATTAATATTTATCAATCAATGAAAACTTTAAATCTATTCTCATCCGAAATAACTGATGAAAGATCAATTCTTCTACAACAAATCTATACTCGAGTTTATTTAATTCTTTATTTAACTTCTCTTGGTATTTTATTATTTTATACGGCAATTATTGAACGTAGTTTAACTCAAACATATTCAGTATCTTCATTAAATGATTATCAACAATTATTAATCGATCTTAAAACAGATCAAATCAATTGTCCTTGTACGCGTATTTCAATTCCGTATGGTGATTTTGTTACTGAACTACGTGTTAATACATTTCATGAAGCTTGTTCTACAGAAACAGTTGAATACATTATTCAGGCTGGTAAGATAATTTGAACTAACAATTTCATTTACTCTATAACTAATAATAAGGATAGTTCTAATCAAATATATGCAAATTTGTACACTTTTAACAAATATTTTCCTTTGTTTTTCTAGGAACACCAGACTATAGTGAGAATCTACTGAGTAGAGACGATAGGTTTTCTGCGTGGAAATATTTCTTCATGGATTCTTTTAAATTACTCTGTTCATTGGCTCAGAATAGTGTTGAAAATAGTATTGCTGTTTTTCTTGCATCAACAATGTTAACTAATCAATTACAAAAGTCGAAAGATTTCACTCAAGAGATCAATGACACGATCGATCAATTTCAACAAAGAATACCAATGCTTTTTACTCAAACATTAAATCTTATTCGAATGACGACACAAGGAAATGCTCTTTTATCAATGTTTTCAGCAAATTGGGATATAGTCATAGATGAACAAGATGCACTATCAAATAATACATTTCTTACGGTTCCTGTTGTTTATCAAAATATAGAACAAAATACGAGTTGTTCCTGTGCAACTTTACGAACATGTTCATTTCCACTAGCATATCCTCCTTCTAACGAATCGGACAAGTTGTTTGTAGATGGTTTATTCTTTGGATGTAATTTGTTGGAAACAGTTTTACTTTCATCATTCTCTTGTTTTTATTCTTTAGCTTGTATTACAGATTTCCGACATAGATTGTTTATACCTAATGAATTATATGATTACACTATACAATTACATAATTCATCAACACGATTTAATATCAATGATACAATTGAAAAATTAGCATCTGAAATGTTTATTGAATCATGGACAAGTAGTATGTCGTATGAAAATTTTTATGATAGTTGTTCTCCAACTTATTGTACTTATACATATTATTATCGATTTGATGCCTTTGAATTGCTAGCAACATTTTTAAGTGTATTTGCTGGTTTGTCAACTGCAGTTCGATTTATTATTCCCCATCTGGTGAAAATATTTCAAAATCTTCAACGTCGTATTCGTGTCACTCCAATACAATCATAACATTTTATCATATGGGCAAAATCATTTTAATAGCGACGTGACACCGTACACTTTCAATATGTGTATCTCTGTATAAGGAGTTAGTCGGAGATTGATTTTTTTACATAATATACAGAATTAGTTGTTCTATATACCTTTCAAAAATCAGCGCCAGAAAACCTTCCTGTAGGTAACCACTGCTGAAAAACTGTCGTTAGCGACGTGACGCGAAAAAAGACATCGATTTTCACTTTTTGCAGTTTAGGTTAAAATAGCTGTGAACCAAAGTATTATTTTCGAAAGCAATATTATATATTGTATAGACCACTTAGAGCGCTACAAAATCTGTTTCCCTAGGTCACACAGATTCTTTGAAAAATCAACAGTATTCGGCGTTAGTGACGTGACATTTTTGTTAGCGATGTGACTGAGTACGAATGGTCAGGCGAAAAAATGCTGGTACGACTAGAAGAAAGATCCAAATCGATTCATATAAACA